TCGTACAAAACAATAACAAATTGTCGAGCGGCGAGCATAAAGTAATAACACCATTGATTATAAATACTAGAAACCACCGATTATACCCTTCTATTTGACAACACCACGTTAAATAAATAATTAATTATTAAATTATAAATAAAAATATTAACCTCATTGAACAGTCTGACGTCGTAAGTGTTATCATCATCGGCGAAATACACTACGCCTTCAACGGCGTTCTGTCGGATCCATTTTAGACCTCTATTTCGATTGGCCACACCTTTGGGCTTGGCACCGCGGATTTTCTTAAATCTTTCCGGCATCGGCGCTGAAAAATGTTTAAACGCATTGTAAGATAGGTAGTATATATTAATATTATGTATTAAGACAGTATAGTAACGAGTCAATCGTAAAGGTAGTGTTTGAAAAGCCGCTACCAATTATATTACACGGTGTTGGCCCACGGTAGGGGAGGGAAACTCCCTATTGCAAATTAAGCCCCCGCCCCAATATGTTGATACATTATTTAATTAATTTCGTCCTTGCGGCTTTGTATATTACGTACACAGACTCATTCGCTGAAGTGAGTGTATATGTAAACCGCACTGCAAGCTTACGTCTATATACTTATTCGTAAGAAGAAAAAAAATCAATGTTTCGAAAAGCGTTATTTTACACAAGTTATACTCCCCTTTGTAACCCTTACACTAGTCCAACGCGGTATATATAACTTTATCAGCTTATACACACAGCGAATAGTACTTCGCCCCGTTGGTCCCCAGTGACCTTAACAATTCACCCAGATAGAGCCAAACCTCGATCGATGGATTTACCACCCTACGTGGTCATAATATTATATATATATAATTGTGATTATCACGAAATTTATATCATGTTGCACGTAAGAGCAATAAAATGTATAACAAAACCTTATTATAAGCGTATTAAATAAAATACATAAAAARGGCCCACATCTATATTATATTCTTTTACATATTTATAATTTTATATATAAACAATAAGGATTATCAATAGGTAAAAGTTTTACTTTTATTCATTTTTAGTATATTTTCTTGAAAAAATATTAAAATAAATCTTATTTTTTCAAGGATTATAGTTTTTATTTTATCTTTTTTAAAATTTTTTTTCAAAAACATGTACCTAGACAGAGCTTTTCATTTAAATATTTCAGTTTTATAATACATTAAGATATACTTATCACTAATATTCATCGTTAAACAATACAAGTTGTAACTAGAATATATAATTTATTTTGTCAATTATTCATTGCAGGTATAAGACTTTCGGATCTGTGTAAAAACAATCAAATACGAATAGTTACGAAATAATACTAATTGGGATTAATTATTCATACAATAAGAAACAAACAAAAGAACAAATAACTTTTTCGTTTACACCTATCCATCTAATTTAAAGAGTTACTATAGGTWTACTTACTATAACATTAAAATACCGATTGATGCATTTATGTACCATTCTAATGCAACCAATAACTTGATATAGGTTGGGTCTGGTCTCGTAATGTTTGTTTATTAGGTTATATTATAATAACGAACAAAATTATATTTTGTTCACAAATTTATTGTTTCATCGTTTTTATCATTACCTACATATTACCAGTTATGTATAACATACCTTTCTTATGATCCACTTTTTATCTAAAACGCATTCAGTGTTGTTATCAATAAGTATCATAATCATTAACATTGATAAAACTACGTGCAAGGATAAAACAAATGCTTTAGCCTACGGCCTATATAATATTATCATATTCATGAATACAAATATAAAAAAAATAATTTTTTTTTCTACCATCCTAATAATAGTTCATGCATAGAAATTTGTTATCGAACATTCATATACATATATATATATATATAATATGCATCCAATACTGCATATAAAATACGTGATTTGAGTTTCATCATAAAAGTTGTTTGCATATTACAATATTCTAACGCGTTCRGAAAATATTCATCCCGCGAGCGGAGATATACAGGTAAATGTTTATTTTCAACTATTTTTATGATATTACGTAAATCATTTTCCTCTGAAAGTCTATACAATGTATTCAATAAAAAAATTATAATATTATTCTAACAATGTGTGAGGAGAGATAAATAAGGTTCCTACACTTTGCGAACGATTATTATTATGAGGAAAATGGAAACAACGATGAACGCTAGCTGTGTTATAGCAATGATAGCTGAAACTTTTCTTCTTTAGTAATGTTTCGAAAGTATAATTATAATAATATAGTRACTATGATATTATTATATTTATTATTATAATTGTATGTCGTTTCATACTTATACTACTTAGTTATATTTAATCTTAARCAATCAGCAGTATTTCTTTTAGCGAATTGTTCATTTTTTTTATGCATATAATAATACGAGTATATAATGTAGACATTGTTTACTCAAATTTAGCATACCTATTTATAAGAAAAGTGAGGCAAAAGATAGTAAAAGATTTATTACTTATATTATTACAATGTTTAGCTACCAATTTTAGAAATAGATTATTCCAGAACTTACAGCGTTTATCGAACTTTAACATCAAAAYAAATTTGCGTCACAGCGAAACGGTACGTTTGCACATTTAAAAACTTTCCAAATCCATTAAATTATAATTATACATGGTTTTTTTTTTATCGAAATAGGTATTTGTGGTAATTGAACCATCTCTAAACAGAACTTATAAGACATGCTTATATAGTGCATTAAATTAATTTAAAAAGGTGAATTGATTGTGAGTTATCCTTCAARTCTGTATTACAAAATGTTTTCATAACATTCATTTATTGTATATGTAATATATAGATTATAAAAAATCTATAAACACAATTTCTTTTTTACAAGAATATATAWAATACAATTTTAAGAACCATAAAACCGAAAAATAATAACATCAACCACGMACAGTTTTGTACAATAAAAACTCAATTTAATTTTACGCATTTTCGACAAGGTCGATAAAGTATTAACGTTTTGACCAATCAAAAAATTAAGCGGAATGTGGATACTCTACAGCATGATAGGTACCAACCAACAAGGTATCGTGCACATACGTATATATTACAATCGAAAATGTAATTTGTAATGACAATAAAACCAACACATTTAAATAATTTAAATTTAATGTCGCAAATTCTGTCATATGTATATAATATATTTACTAAAGTTATATATATATATATAAATTATGTTGTAATGATTTTTAGGAAATTGATGGGCTTTGTGGAGTTCCGAGACCGAGCGACTATATTGTTTTTTCCTGCGAATCCGTCATTGTCATACATCAAATCATTGCAATAAAAAAACTCAACGACCAGTATTAGTGGGTGTACATAAACTATGCGTATATAATATATTCCTATAAGATGAGATCATCATAATTATTATCGAAAAAATAATTTTTATATTTTTATAATTTATTCCATCAAATCGATTAGAAAGAAGTATTCGTAAAATTTACCATGCAATTGGCACCTYTAGAAAATTGAATTAAATTTTCAATAATTATTGATTATTTTACTATTTTTTTAAAAATATTTTTCAATATTGTGATAATAAAATATGCTCACAGTCGATTTACTAAAACGGTCTTTTTTTGTATTAAACTTTAATTAAATTTGACTTATAAAATAATAATAATAATATGACGCATTTAACATAAACATCAAAATGTTTGGCATTGTGATATTTAAAAAAAATTATTTACGCAACAATAACATAATATTATTTACAATGACAATCTACATATTYTATTATAAGACGATGACGGTGACGTACAGTATATTATAATTATTATTTCATTTTTGAAATGTATTATTACCTATATATGTATGCACGTATTATTGTATTATTACCTATTGGTAGTTATTTATTAATATACATTTCGAAATTMKATTTTCCATATGTATTTTCGAATTACTGGTAAAAAATGTGTGATTGATTAGAAATTAAAATTAAAATCGTATTAATCAATTGAAAGTTTGTTTGAAATTTATGAAATTAAAATTAAATATTAACGGTAAAATATTTTAATTTAAAAATTAATTTTTAATTTGTAAGTAATACTGAAAATCGACCTGTGCCAGATGTGGAGCACTTACTTATGCATATTTTGTTAAACAATTTGCTAATTCAGTGGTTATTATTTACTTAATGAAAATTGCCATGTATGTAATATCGGTACCTATATATTCATGATGTTCTTTAAAACAGACCAGCTTGCAGTTTACGATTTCSTAACATATTATCATTGTTAATTGTTATAGAAGTTGTATTTTATCGACATCGTAAAATTAAACAATATATTTTAACCCAGGCAGGTTTATCAGGTAAACGAAAATATTTACAAATAGTAATTAGTWAAGTCTATAGTTTAAAATAACATTTGGATATCATAAAAAATCAATGAAAAAATATTAAAATATTTCAAAAAACTGTTTTGATATAGGTAGGTAGCATAATATTTTATAGTTGTACAGCATACCCTAGTTAGATAAATTGATTTTAGGAGTAGGTCGCTAACTCGATTCTGTTACGTTTCATTTATTTACTTTATTATATATTTTTATTATTATTATTATTATTTAACAAACGACGGTTTGTGTTAATCTGAATGACATAAAGATATGCAGGARTTTTAAATTTGTCGGTTAGACACGAGCGTAGGCGTTTCCAGCTTAGATAATTGTAAAACCGACAGCAGTATTATATTTTTATGCAGATAAATACGAAGGACGTGGATATGTTATATACACCAAACGAGTGTTGTGCATGCAGCGTAAATTATTTAATAGTGCATAATATTATTAATTATTTTTCCGCTTTGACAATTTCCAGAGAACGACATTAAGTAGGTAGCTATAACAACACGTGTCTAAAGCGATCCAGTGGTATGACTAATAATAATAATTTTATTATCGTATACACATTTGTTTTATRTCACCGTCAACCAGTGTTTTACAGATTATTTACAAACTTACAATACCGTTTTGARGGGCATATTCCGGGGCAAGAGGAATAAGTCACTCATTCATCATTCATCATTATTTACTTAGCAAATCGTGATTTTTTTTCATTACGTTACAACTCAATATTCAGATAAAAATTAGGTACCTGTCTATCGACAATATTATTATAATATTAATTTAAATAATTTAGAACAGCGGTTCCCAGCCCGTGCAGGGCCTTGAGCAGCATGGCACTGGGCCGTGAGCCATAGGTATAATATTAAATATTTTATATGTATATATATAATATAATTAAGTTTTTTTGTAATAAACATTTTTTT